GCAACCCGGCCCGCCCGAGGGTTGCTGGCGGGTTGAACCCTCTTCATTACAGGCCGAGTTAGGATTAGCCCGCCTAACCTAGCCCAATTGTTCCACCTCTATCGAGGGTTGTTGATGCCCAATTTTGTCAAGGCAGCTCGCAGAGGCCAAAGCAATTCCAAGGCCATCTCACACTCAGAAAAAAGGTGAATTGGGCCCCGTGTCAAGGTATGATCTCTTAACCCTCTTTGAGAGACCGACAGGACCAAGTAGTTTAATGGTGCATTTTGGTGGGTTATCGTGTGCTAGGATGGAGGGTCCAGTTAGGCTTACTAAGGCTGAGGTACATTTTTGAATTAGGCCCACTTGGGGATTCTAATTTGGTTCTTTAATCTTAATAAGCTACGAAAATGATAACAAGGCACAAGTATAACTTATTTTCAAAATGACTTTCTAAATTATAAAAACTTCCTAAATTAGCATTATGCGTAATTAGAAATGAAATTACAAGTTTTTCAGATTTTTTACAAAAGAAAAAAAAAATCCAAGATTACGAAAATATCCCCGTTTTGACAACTTGTTGACTTTTAAGTGCAAAATCGTGTTTACTGATTTTATATTTTCTAAAATCTTATAAAAATAGCAAAAGCTCAATTTTTAAATTTCCTAATTTTTGGAGGGGTATTTTATTTTATAAAAATATTTCTTTATTAAAAGTTTACTACAGTACTTCAACCTTCCAGGCCATTGTTATTTTGTATACTAATCAAAACTTCTTATCTTTTAGGATTTATACTAATTGGTTTTATATTCTTTAAAATATCTTCCTAATGAACCTAGTTTTTATTAAGGTTGCATCCATGCTCGGGTTATGTTTACAATAGTTGATTACTATCGTCAGTAGGGTTACCATGCTCATTCACATGCATTGTCGTTTTTTATCAATTATTCATAAGTGTGATCTCTATCATCCCCTACGCACAGAACGTATGATAGGGGACTACACAACTAAAACAGCCCCAAAGGCGAAGCACAAATCGCACAGCCCATCGTGTTACGTGAGAGTCAGTTTCCTGTCCAAGTCTCACTTCAGTCACAAGCCCCCACCATAAACAACACAAATAGCTCCAAATGAGTGATCTACAAAACTCCAATCCCGTTTTAGAGAGAGAAACTGTAGTTTTTAAGTGTTTAGACACATATTACATCTGCATCACAAGCCACGCCCTTCAGCTTCTAACAATCCTGGACTTTCACTTTTGCCAAAGTACCAGATATCTCGCATCCCAGCATACAAGTTTTGTTTACTTTCCTCTTAGGATGAGTTGCATCAAGATAAGAAAAGTCTTTGTTTTAAAATTTGTCAAAGGCATTAGATTCCATGTCTAAATATATTTTTCCAAAAACGAAACATGATTTTGAAGAATAAAAAGGCATCTACCATATCCTGTATTTGTTTGCGCGTTAGTTTAGAATAACTTATAATTGGAGACACTTTGTGCATTTGTTCAGCCAAGGAAGTCTTACGCTGTGTGAACATGCTGAGAAGCCTATCAGAGTACCGCTAGATGTCTTGATTCTTTCAATCTCTGCATTTTGAATTCCCTCCTCAGATGTAGCACTTGCCATGTTTCCGGTCCTGTCACCTTTATATTCTTCTTTGAAGAAATCCCAATTATTTGTTGACTAAGTTGATAATCCAGTGAAAATTGCATCTGACACAGCAGCATGTAAGCAAGCCTTGCCTTGTAATTCGTCTTCATTCTCCTTATGATTCCTCAACTGAGCCATTGTAGGCTATTTGCAATGGTGCAATCCGTTAGTCTTCTCACTGCCTCCTATAGTCATTAGCTGCAGATGAGTTGTCATTCGAAACCCAAGTCTCGTAACTCTCTCCATTAACAAGGGGTGGTGCTGTGAGAGTAAGCTTCTAAACCATGATGAGGGTTTGGTTTGAGTTAGGAAGAAAATAGATTGCTATTGTCTACGATTTCATTGAATGAAAAATGCAATTATACAAAAAATGCAACATAAAAAAACATGAAAAAACAAGCCTAGAACAATGTGCCGGTTACATGAAGAGGCAGCTACAACTTAATGCCTATTATAGCACAACAATAGTTGACAGTTCAAAACTTGACTTACTCAACAGCAACTGAACACACTATTCCGCGGTTGCCCATCTCACAAACCTAATCAGCACTTCCAAGTAGCAACACACTTCTGCAAAATGATGACACATATTCAACAGATTTTTTAATTGATTTTTTTAATAGATCAGATAATTTATTGCTCAAATACAATCAAGTTTCCAACTCTTATGTAATTATATTTCTCTATTCTATATTTTTATATGTTTTGAATATATTATCTTGATGATTTGGTTGTGTGTAGGATGATATAATTTAGTTCTTAATTTTTAGAATTTAAAAAAGACGATACAATATTTTATGAACTCATTAATAATAGAGGGGGCTAAAAAATTATTTCCCATGTATTATTTAATCTTGTTTAAATAATATCCAAATCATCTTGGGCCATTCAACAACTTTTTCATTATCACGTTTGTCATTTTCAATTGACGGAAGCATGAGAAGATGTTGGTTAGGTAGCATGTATGCTAGTTTTCACCAAAAAAAAAAAAAAATAATAATAAATAATTTGTTTTTAAACAAGAAGTTTACTTTTACTTGTAAAGTTAGACAGGAAGTGTTATAACTTTACAAGTTCATTAAACTTATGCGGAATGGATTAAACATTCATTTTGTGTGTGGGTCTGTCATTCATCATCAGCAAATAACATACTAGCATAATGTAAAGCCACATCACTTTTTACATGGGTTGACCCAGCTGCGTGATCCATAGGACCATCGTCCAGATAAGCTAATCCATTATGATAAACATATATAGGTTCAATTACAAAGCAAAGTTAACATCAGTTGTAAAACATTCATGTTATGGACAACACTTCAAACTTCACCTTTTGGTTGAACTCATTTCACCAGAAACTAGCTTTCATTAGGAAACCAACTAGACAACCTGAGCTCCACTCAGGTTCAACACCAAAGATACACTTCAGCTTCAACAACTTGAATCCATACAAGCATCATCAAAGAACAACCCAGTTCCAACAAACTGCTATGTTCAAAAAGAAATATGATTGAAAGAATGTCTCCCATAACATTGAGTGACGCCACAAAAGCTACAAAAAGGGTTGTGCATAAACAATATGAGGTCTTGAGATCATGAACAAGCAGTTACCATAGAATTCATAAGTGGGCAAAAAATACTTACCATAGACAAAAAACCAGCAAAACAATAAAAAATATAGTTTTACAATGCTTCTCAACTTTACCACTGAATTATTTCTTGGAAGTCACAAAATCAATTGATTACCACTTTAATTATTTAAAATCTTCAATTCAAGCAAAATAACATTAATTAAAGGATATTTGTATATGTTTAAAATACTGAGACGACATCTAATCAGTGTATATTTGCTAAATAACTCTATTTAAATACTAAGTTTTTTAAAAAACTATTAGACTGTTCTTTTTTTTTTAAAAATGTTATTTCAAACAAATATATTGATCACGTGTTATTTTCTGAATACACATAATTTAAACAAACACTATTTAAACATTTTCTATTATCACAAAATACATAAGGATTTTAAAAGAACAAACCCCTCTAGTAACACACCATTTTTTTATTCTGAAAACCAACCTATTCATTCTTTGTGCTAAAAGAAGTGATAGATAAGATGATAAATCAAAGAATTACTCAATTAAAGTGGAGTATACTATAAACAGCAATGTGAAGCAATGTTGATAGTCCAAAGGCAACTCAACTGGTGGAAGGTAATGAGAAAAATCTCAATTAAAGAGTGCGATCGAGCTTCTTGGGTTCATACCTCGTATTATAGCAATGTAGTTTTTGATCACCTATCTTACATTCACACATATAACTAAAATTATAAAAATTTATGTACAAACAGATATATAATTAAAATGATTTAGCTGCGGAAGTCCTTATTTTATAATCTGGACATGTATTGTATTATGATGGCCAAGTAATGTCTATGTAATAGACAAAATTAAAGTCAATTTTGTATTATCATAAATATTTTTCTTTTTTATCTTTTAGTGCATTACTAACAGTGGAAGTGTATATTTGAATTTTAAGAAGATTGGGGTGGCGCTACAAGATAATAATTGCTTAACAATTCAATATAAAAAAATACCAAAATAGCATAAGTGATGACATTCCAAAGCTCAAATCATCAATCGGAGGACTTCAATTGCGTCTTATAGGTCAAACTTAGAGGGCAGGGCTTCAAGGGAGTAAAGCTACTATCAATTTCCACCAATTTTGATATCAGATATTAGTAGCGAGAATGAGAATTTAAAAGAAAGCACAATTAAAGAACATCATTATAGCTTGATACTTACAATTTATAAAATGCTTAAGTAGCGGTGGTTTCATCTTCAGAAGCATTAACAGCTAGCATATATGCTGGCAAGAAGATATCCAAAAAGAAAAAAAGATGATAAAATGAAAAGAGAAAAGACAAAAAGGACATTAAATAGTTAAACCCCCTGAGGTATTCCCAATATACTAAAACACCCTTTAAGGTATATCTAATCGCCCTTAAACCCTTTGCCGTTAATGATTTTGTTAACGTGTCTAATCTCACTATTGTCGAGGGTAAATTCTGTTAACAGAAAATATTATAAATTAACATATATACACATTTCCTTGAATTTTTTCTTCATCTTATTTAACGGAAGAATAAGAAAATAAGAAATATTACCCAGAATGGCAACAAAATAATGGCAAATAGAATAACAACGAACTGAAACAGAAGACATTTGAAAGAAAAGAATTAATTAGTATATATAGAAGGACAACTATTTACTCAAAAACAAGAAATAAGAAATAAGTTAAACACACTAAGAAAGGTCGATTGATAAATTTGAAGAGAAAGCATTAACCTGTATACGAAGAACTCTCCTCTGAATTCAAACCCAATCAGGTATGTAACGAAGACCCATACCACGAATACCTTCCCATTCCAGCTCACCTTCTTCATGGGATGTAATTTTCAAATTTCGGAGAGAGGGGAGAAATTTTAATGCTTGATCCAGTTGAGTAATTTTTGGACATGACAAAATTTTCAAATCCACCAGAGAAGTCAACTTTTTCATCCCATCCATTGGAAGAGATTCTAGATCAGAAATTTTAATCATAAGTATTGACTTTAAATTGGAGAGAGGAGCAGAAAAGCAAGAGGAAGTTGATGGTTCCCCTTTATTCATCAACGTCATCGTCATCGTCTGCTCCAGCGGTTTCGAGCTGGTCTGGAGCAATTTTAATTCTTCCAGAGATGGATATAGCGGCATGAACATCAAATTAGGGCAATTTTGGATATCTAATTTGGAAAGACAAGGAAATGAAGGCAGCTCTGTATCTTCATAATCATGTTTCCTCCACCATCCCTTTAATTTAGGACAATCATAAAGGGTGATTTGCTCAAGGGATGGGAAGAATGTTGTTAATAATGTGGAAGAACTATTACTTGCTTCCTTTGAAATGTACTCCAAATCATCTAGATGACTAAGAAACAAACTCTTCAGATAAGGAAATTCATCCAATGGTGGGATATGTTGGCATCTTCTACATTTTTTTTATACTAATTGAAGTTAAATTTGTGAGGGAGGAAAGCCATTCACACAATTTAACACCATAAATGATCTTACACTAATTTCCTTAAGATTTGGGTGTGGTTTTAGACCTTCTGACACCACTTCATCAGTTCCTTGAACCTCTCCATCATCACTTCTCCCCACTTCATCAATTCCTTGAACCTTTCCATCATCACTTCTCCCCCAATCCAACGTTAGAGACCGAAGAAATTGCTTCCCTTCTAAGTTGGCCAACTTGCTACTTTCCTCAAATTTTAAATTCTTAATTTTGAGTTTTCCTCTCAAGTTCTTCAACCCATTTAATTCCTTTGTCCCACTGTGTTTGCCTTTTCTGTTGGCTTGCATAGTTCCCTGACTTACTACAAATAGAGGTAAAGTCTGAAGATTAGTCAAATGCCCTAGTCCATATGGCATTCCAACTAAAGAATCACATTTTTTTATTTATAAGATGTCTAAGGTTCACCATTTTTTTAATATCTCTTGGTAGTTCCTTAAGTTCGTTACAGAAAGACAGATCTAATGTTTCCAAATTTAATAGTCTCGATAGTGAATTAGAGAGTATTTTAATATCCACACAAGAAAAATTGAGATACCGCAAATGCTTCAATTCACCAATTAAACTCAGAAGTTCACCATTTGAACTCAACAATTTCTGAAACCTTAACTCTCCAAAATCCAATGCTCGTAAGTACTTATAACTTGTTAAAATTTCATCACCACCATCCAAGTTGAAACCCCAGTTTAATCGATAAAATAAAAGTAAAGTTCTTACATTTTTGGCACTATATAATACAACTGGAAATTTCCATGATCGTTTTACTTCACCACAGTCAAGTGATAAATGACGACATCTTACATCCACACGTTCAACCTTATCAAAAGTTTGCATGATGCATTCAGTTCCTGCAACTGATTGTGCAAGGTCATGCATAAGATCATGCATCTTACATGTGGTTACATTGCCCCATCTATCATATTGTGGATCTTGGAAAAATGATTTCCAAAGTAAAGCCATAAAATACTTATTACCAACATCTTCTAGACATTCATTGTTTGATGTTTGAAGAAACCCTTGTGCCATCCAAAGATGAATTAATTTTTGCTTCTTAATCTTATGATCCTTAGGAAACAATGCACAATAAGCAAAGCATTGTTTCAAGTTTGAAGGGAGATGATCATAGCTGAGCTTGAGTAATGGTAAAATATCACTTTCTTCTTTAATCACTTTTGACATTTCTTTGTCCTTAAAATTCAACCAATCATCTTCCTTATTATTACCATAAAGTAATTGTCCTATTGTCATTAGGACAAGAGGAACTCCACCACACTTTGCCACAATCTCTTTTCCAAACTCTATTAATTTCGAATCTTTTGGTTCCTTCCCATGTTCAAAAGCTTTTTGGGTAAACAAAGACCAAGATTTTTTTTCATCTAGTCCTCTCAAGCGATAGACATAAGATTCAAGTTTGCTAGTAACCTTAGCAACTACTTCACTACGTGTAGTAACTAGTATTTTACTTCCTTTTGAACCATTCATTAATAGATTCATCAATTCATTCCATTTATTATGATTCTCATTCCATACATCATCCAAAACTAGCAGATATCTTTTCCCATTAATTTCTTTTCGAAGGAATTCCTGCAATTCGTTCAAATGAAAATTTCCAAGTTCTTTACGAGTTGCAGATTTTATTATCTTTTCAACAATTATCTTCTTAGTAAAATCATTAGAGACACACACCCACATCCTTAACTCAAAATGGTTTATGATATTCTCATCATTATATACAAGTTGAGCAAGTGTGGTTTTTCCTACTCCTCCAAGTCCAACTATGGTAACAACTAAAACATTCTTATCATCATTTGAGTCCAATAGAAGTCTTATAACATTACTTTTATCATCATCTCTTCCGATTACCGTTTCTACATGTATGAAAGAGTGTGTTTCCCTTTCTATATTTATGACTCCTTCTTCAACAAGACGCTCAGAAAGGTGGACCGGCCTATCTTTTTTAATCTCATCTAGTTTTTCCCTAATAGTCTTAATCTTATGAGCCATTCTAACACTATATGCAATTTGATTTGATTTGGAGAAAAAGATCCGTACCTTGTTTGCCAATATATTTTGACTTAATACCTCTTGCCATCGAAGTTGAGTGAAGAAATCGTCTAACAAGTCATCTGCATCATAAAATGCATCTTTGAGCCTTTGGATCCAAGCTGTTACCTCTCGGTTTTTGTTGTGCTGCTCCTCAGCATCGAGAATTACACGTTTGATAGTGTTGACAGTGCTCTCAAGTTTTTTAATCTCACCTTTAACACCCCATGCCGATTTCCTTCTTGGATAGCCAAGGACCCCAACCCTTCCAAGATTTTCCCCGCAACGCTAAATAGAATGACTTCTGCCATTTGTTTTCGGTTGCTCTATTACAAATTGGTTTTTCAAAAGGTAGCTGTAAAAATTAATTGTAAGACAATGTTACTGCTGTTTATAGACAAGAGTAATAACATTAATTCTTGATCAGCACACAAACTTAAAATATGAAAAAGATACTTGACTTACATGATGAAAATCCAAAGCTAAAAGTATAGGTAATAAATACTTGGCGTAATGATAGGAAAAGAAAAGCATCTATTCGCACAATGTTTTGCTCTGGTAATAATCAAACATTAATCTCATTTAAGGTTTATAATTCTTTAATTTTAATCAAAACATTATTTACTACGAAAGATTTGATAGTCAAGTGATATCCATACATATTTTTATCTTATAACATCTTTGCACCCATTTTACAAATTTGCATATAAGTAGTGTTTTAATAACCGACCTAGGGTGAAACCCGACAAAGTGGTCGGGTCTCAGGTTGACCAATTGAACCAGTTTGAACGACGGATCAAACCGATGATGTTAGTGTGTCCAGAAATTTTGAAATCCAGCAAACACACCCATAATTACACCCTAAAAGTTTGAAATCTAGCAAACATACCCCAAATGCAAATCGGTGGTCAATTGGTTGACGGTGGTGACACAACAAATGCAAATCTCACTCATCCTTTGAGCCATTCCCCAGCAAATATGCCCAAGACCTGGTTGAAATAGAAACATTTTGCGGCAAAAAACACCACCATTAGCGTTGACAACCCAAGCCAATTAGGGCTTTTTTCCTACGTCGACAAGACTCCCCATCACTATGAAAACACTCTCCTCAGCCTCCTGACAAAAACCCATCTCACACCCCCGTTCGCTCTACCAATCGTCGGCAACAGCTTGCTATTGTGATCGTGCAACTTTTACCTTTTTCGATCAATTTACTCGCCGAAAATCACCTTTGTCACCACCTTTCAACTTGTCGGCACTTCCTCTCCAAAACCTTCAACATCCTCGCCATTGTCTGCTCGCTAACCGTCGCTCTCCTCTCTAGGGTTTAAGATTCAAATTGGTGAACAGTGAAAATGGTGACTGGCCTGGTGAAGGCCCCGGGTCTCGATTAGATTGGTTAAACTGGTCAGGTTAGGCCAGGTTTTAAAATAGAGCATTTAAGTAATATGGACAATGCGATCTAATTTTGTTGCTTTTTATAATATAAACAAAGAAGAATCCAATAAATCAAAAGCTAAAGCTAAATCAAAAGACCACCTTTGGCATAAGATAGCAAAAAAAAAAAAAAAAAAAAAAAAAAAAAAAAAAAAAAAAAAAAAAAAAAAAAAGGTAAGAGTGAACCATTACTTTTAATTTTATGATTGAATTATTCCGAGCTAATAGCCCAGAAAACCATTAATTTCACAATAAATAGGAGGTTGCCTTTCAAAAATTTAAAATTTTGAATATTGTGAAATGTTTTATTTTCTGTTGTACCGTATTTTATAACCTTTTAAGTAAATTTAAGAATTAAATCATTATGAAAAGAAGATTAAATATATATTTTTTTTCAAAAAAAAAAGTGTAGAAAACGTGTTTTCATTGTTTTTTTATTTTTAGAATACTGCTTTTATAAATGATACCAAATCTGTTCCCAAATTTTGAAAATACAAAATTCAATTTTTTGATCTATTTCCTCAAAACATTTTGCAAAGTACCATTAAAGATAATTTAAATTTTGTAATTAGATATTTTAAAGAGGTTAATAGGCTTCTTGACAAAATTTCGTTCTTAATTCTTACCCGCATGTAATTTACATTTTTATGAGATCAAATTTCATTTAAATTGATTTTTTTTTCCTAATTAGAAATAAAATAGTAAATACTTGCCAGAAAAAACAATTGAGATTAACAATAATAATATCTATTAAAAAAAACTGTTATGGTTAATAACGAATCAACATATATTATAAACATTTTTATACAAGTTTTCTCTTGCAAACTTATGTGATAAAAGTTGTTTGGGTGATTTTAAATTTAAAATAAACTTTCACCCAATCACATTTTGTCACATAACTTTATGAGAGAAAATTTGTATAAAAAAGGTATAGAAAGTTTGTGTGTGTAACATTACTTTTTAATTTAAAACTTGGAACAATGGTAAAAATAAAATCATAAAAGAGTATGTCTAGATTTACAGTTACCTTAAAGACCATTTTCCTTAACAGTGGGTTTATTACCTCAATACCTTCACCAATTGATTGCTAATCAAACTGTCAAGGGACGTTATGGCCATTTCATGTCAAAAACTTAATAAAGTTAAAATAAATGAAAAGTTTATACATGGAATTAGGTTGCGAAAATATTCTGTAAAATTGTAAGAATGCCCAAAAGTTACCTCCACTATTAGGCAGTCAAACGAAAATTCAGGGGACATTATGGTCATTTACATTATATCCAAGATATGTTGGCAACAATAAACTGGAAAAATTTTATAGAAGTTTTTCTCACCAATTAACGAAAATGTCCATCTCTCGTTATTTTTAATTCCTAGAATTTAATGATAGGGGATATATATATATATAAGCAAACATTTGTCAATAAAAATAATACAATTTTTTTAGTTTCAACCCTCCCATATGAATGTGAGATAGAAAATATACATATGATTATACAATTGCTTATTTGGATGTCATGGATTGGAGTTACATATATAGTTTTTGAAAATCAATTAACTTGGTCCAATTTGAGATACTATGATTTTCAAGTTAATCATTTAGGACTTTAACGATTATAATTAATTTTAAACAAATTTATTGCATTTCATAAACTTTAATTTTAAAAATTGTCATGTGTTTTTAAAAACCAAAAATGACATATTATAATTCATAAAATATTTTATAATAAATTACAATAATTATTATAGTCTTCAATTTAATTTAATAATTATTTTTTATAAATAACTTTTACAACTTTTTGAGGTTAATTCAACAGCTTCGCTGATTGAATTATACCCAAACTCTGTATTGTATGATTCGTATCCAATTTCATAACCTGTACGATTTAGATGTTAAAAAGTATTTGTCCTTATCTAAACTTGTGGTGTGGGTTGCAAGTTTTTATTAGATTTTTAGTTGAAATAAGTTTCAATCATTAGATGACTTTCCTACAAATTAAACGGCTCCTCTTTTTTGTGACACTACGTTAAGTGTATCATAATACGAATCAAATATTCTCTTGTAAAATTAAAAAAAAAAAAAAAACCTTGATAGGGTATATTAGTAAATAATTGTGGCGCTTGTATAACTTTTTTTTTTTTTTGGTGGGGGGGGGGGGGGGGGGGGTGGAAATATTATTCAAAAGAAAAAAGAATTACAAAAAATCATATAAAACGACCATCCTACCATAAGACAAGCTCTAAGTAGAACAAAAGAATCAAGTAATCACCAAGACTACTAACTAATTGCTAAACAGCAAATAAACACAAAACAAACAAACGCAAGCAAAATGAAAACAAGGAATGCACACCTCAACCAAGGTTGCCTAACAACACTCTTTCTTGTTTTGAGTTGTATGCCTAAAAAGTCAGGATAACTATGGTGCTTGTAAAATTTAAAAACAAAAAAAAAAAAAAAAAAAAAAAACCTGATGGGTATATTAGAAAATAACTATGGCGCTTTGTATTATTATTATTTTTTGGTTTTGGGGGGGGGGGGGGGTGATCCTACCGTAATCATCACCTTGAATTCTCCCACTATAAATAGAGGATTCCTATCTCATTTACGGGATTGACTTATCCTAGTCTAAATAACATACTCTCTCTCTCTCTCTCTCTCTCTCTCTACATATATATCCTTTCTAGATTGTAACTTAACTCGCTACATGTGACATGATTGTAACAATCTATTAATACAATCATAGTGGACGTAGGAATCGCTTTTGAGCATCCGAACCATTTTAAAAATTGTCTTTTATTCACTCTCTTGCTACACATTTCCATATCACGTGTAACTTCTAAGCCAGCTTAGCATTTTGCACGTGTGAGTCGTTGGTATCAAAATCAAACATTAACAGTTTAGCACTAGAAGGAGGGCCTGATTTAGTATCTGCTCTCTTCATCAGAAACCTCTGACTAATCGGTCCTACCCATCATCAAATGATCGCGGTTTCGAAACTGAGCGAACCGACTTTGACAATAAGGAAATCCCCTAGGTACAGGATGACACTTCTCTCGAAGTGTCGCCAGTCCAACAGAATATCATGGTGGATATTCCTTTAACCTCACGGCTCAACCCAACCGTAATGAGTTACTTGGAGAGGTTCAATAATACTCTCCAAACGGTTAGCCAAAGGTTGGACCATTTGGATCAAGTCATGCCATCAGAGTCCAGTGAAGTGGTGCCATCACCAATAACGCTTGCAGGTCACACGAAAGCGCGAAAAAAGGCGAAAGCCCGTACCGCGCGCACTGCAGTGCACAAAATGAAAAAAAAAAAAAAAACCATGAAGAGGTGGTAGAAAATGTTGATTGGAAGCATGTAAACAAGACATGCATGTAAAGATATGGATTAATAGGATTCAAAAAATGCAAATAAAGCATAAAAACATTATACCTTCTCCTAGTGCTTAGGTTTGATGAAGCCAAGATTCAAAAGGATAAATCCTCCACACTTTAACACCACCTTGAGAGAATGAGAGAGTGGCCGAACCTAAGAGAGAGAGCTTGTTTTTCTTTTGAGTGAACAAAATGAACACTTAACCTAAAATGCAACCATTTGCATTTATATATACATGGGCGATTTTGTAATTAATTGTCTTTCACTTGCATGCCCCAATAAAATGTTATTCTAAAAGGAGCCCAAGCATTCATTAATTTTCCCTTGGAATAATCAAATATTATACAAGGGCCCATGTAAACTAAACTAGTTTACATTAACAACCCATAAGTTTACCCCTTTGCCCTTTAACTATTAAAAAGTTATTTTAGTTCATCTCATTTATCTTAACGTTTTAAGATATAATAATTAAATACAATTAATTATTCCTTAACTATTTTAACCCTTAAAATATCACAAATAATTTTCTATGTAACTATTACCATAGAAATCTTGTCATTACCCTTGGAAGGTGCTAGCCCTCTTCGGATAATCATTTCTCTCTCTTATCATTCTCTAACTTCTCAAGGCTATTGGTGTGATCATGTACGTCCACTATGGATTAGTCGTGAGTCGGTTTTGGATGAATCTGAAAACTTATCCAGAGGCCCAACGACTATGGTAAACATCTAGCAATGTGCCATAGTGCCTAAACCACGATGAAGAAATGTTTCATCGAACCTTTTTCAGATCATATGTACCATGTAGGTAAAGTCACTCTATTGATATATCTTGATCGAGTACAGATTCATGGAACATCAAAACCCTAAACTCGATCTTCTACCGAATCGTCGATCAATATGTCCGGAACTTGTTATCACGAACTTGCTTTTGTATGACTAATAATAGGTTCTGGCCAGAGATTCTGATTTTCGACATTTATCGACGTTCGTCTAGGAACTCGAATCCCGATGGAGCCAGCGGTACTCATGATCCTATATTTCCAAGTCAATGGATCCCTTCTTGACCATCATTCGTTTCCGTATATGAACAACGCATGACCAAATAGGCTTTATCATACGAAACATGACTAGTCTTGTACTTATACACCGTGTGAACCATACGCATTCATATCGGATTTGACCACAATGTCTCAGGTCTAAGGACTACATCGTGCACTGATATAACTAAACGATAAATCATTGACTACCTGCTTTTCCAAGTGATTTGTCGTTATTCAGTCATGTTTGAAAAACAGTTCACCAACCGCTAATCCATACCAATGCCCAAGTGACATGACTATCATCATCATCCGTACTTATATCAACTCATGATATCTTTCGGAAGCATCCAATATGTCTACTATGCAATATAGTTGCCCAAATTATATTGCTTCCGTATTAGACCTTTTGATAAATTCATTTACCGATTAAATG